CTTAATGTTGCAGAGCTGACTGCAATCTCAATCTTCAATCTTCGTCGGAGTTCAGTCGACGGGCAAGCGATCACTATCAATGGACAACTGATTCGCAACCACCCACCGAACTTTGCAACGGCGCACACTCGTACTCACCGGGTCATGGGAAGTCGTAGGATCGACGAGGAAGAAGAACTGAATCGTAAACCTCGGTGGCACTGTAATCGGTGCCAAGTGAGTGACGGTTCTGGTCGTTTTTGTGTAAGAATGTTTTGTCATGGGGGAAACTGAGCAGTCCTGACAGCGGTCGTTCCTCGTGTGGTGACCAGGAATCGGTACATTGGGCACTAGAAGGAAAACTCTTGTGAAAACCTTTCGTCTTCAGGAAACATGAATGTACTATGGAGACGGGTCTACTTTTTTCGACGGATCTGTCGTGACGCGGTCCGAACGGGGATCAGAAGTATGACATGATAGCGTTCTTCTTTATAACTCACCTTTTCATTGCACCGATTCAGGTTGACTCGGTCTCCACCTGAACCGGCCCATCTCTCCCTTTTCGAGTGGCTTTTCGATAATACTCGTGTAGCTGTGCATCCCGAGTTCGAATTCTTCCGTCCACGTTAGCAAGGAGTTCTGAGGACTACTGGCTGCCGTCAACTTAGATCGACTTTTCTGTCGTGAGGCGATCCGAGCAGGGATCAGAAGTATGCCATCATGGCTTACTTCCCCTATAGTGCCAACTTTTTCACAGCACTCAATTCAGGTTGACGCCGCCTTTACATAAAACGTCCTTTTCTTTCTCCAGATGACTCTTCGACACACTCGTATAGCTGTGCAACTCCATTCGAAATCTCTCATCTACAAGCACGGATATGTGTAGGACACGAGGAGGGGTCAACTTAGTTCGACGCTTCGTCGTGAGGCGATCCGAGCGGGGATCAGAAGTATGCCGCGACTAATGAAGATTCTATGTTGTCCACATTTTCAATGAACTCAAGTCAGGTTGACACCGTCTCCACCTGGACCGACACATTTTCTCTCTACATGGATTGTTCGACCACTCCACCCGATCTATTCGACTTCCACTACACTTCGATCCAATCGGGGATCAGAGGTGTGTCACAGTTCAGCGTGCTTTCCAAGTTTGTTTTTCAGTGGTCCTTAACATGGATCGGAACATTGCCTTATAGTCCAAAATCGATAGTGTATAATGTTGCACCCTATGGCATTGATTTGCTTGGAACCGATTACTTTTTTATTCAGATCGGAGCTGGGATCGTTCTGACGAAACGAGAGAAGTGTTCGCCATCTTAACTTGGTGCGCTACCATATGGCAAGAAAGAAAATTCTATTGTCCTGCGGCCAGCGGAAGATATGAATATGAGGCGACTGAGCGAACGTGGATGGAGAAGAACAGGCGCATCCTGCACGAGTAACGGGCTCTGCTACTGTGTGGAATAGCGATAGGGAGGAGAAGAAAAGGAGGAATATGACCGGACGTTGTTGACGGGGCCACCAAACTGATAAGCCGCCAGAAATCCTGGTGAGTAGACTTAGTTCGTTTTGTCAGAAGACTTTTTTCGGTTTTTGTTGGTGTCAGAATCTCGCATGCACTGAAATTTCATCTTTGAAAGTTTTTTTGACTCTGGAAAGAAGGTGGTTCAGGGGAGAAAGTTTATGAATTCCGAGGTTCCTGGGTTTTTTTTGAGAACATTGATTCCGCTCGACAACAACTTGACCGTTCATATTTTCGTAGGGATCTCCTTGTTTTCTGGCAAAGCAAAACTGCAGCGTCAAGAGCGAGTCAGTCCTTAGGCTTGCATTGAATTGCACGGAAACTGGAGTCAGACCGGAGATATCAGAAAGGGGACTCAGAATGCTCAAACAAACAACTTTACACGCACTTGATCCACTGCCTGAACGAGAAGAGGATGGAAGAATTCAGAAGATTGAGTTGTCCATGAATAACGGACTTAGTTCAGGTCGCCGTCCCGACTGCTCAGCATTAAGCAGTCGCCTATCCTTTCAAGAGTGATCCGATCAGGGATCGAGGGTATGCACATTCGTCATTCATTGGTCCTGCTTCTCCTGTTCGCTTATAGCAGTAGATTCAGATAGGCCATGTCGTCCGCAAAGAAACCCCTTGTAACCGATTGCCGCGTCGATCCTGATATCTATCTGATATCCATCTGAACCACGACGTCCAGTGAAGATCAAGGAAGCAGTAAAGGAAACGATCGCCCAGGACCAGGGTCAGATACTCACTACCACCACATTGTTTGTTCCAACCGGCTGATCAATAGCATATTTTCACTTTTTCAGTATTGACAAGCATTTTGAGATGGCCGTTGCTGCAAATTCTACAACGCCACCCAGAAAGCAGCACGGTCATCAAGGGGTGCTGGTACTGGGCGATTGAATGGCGGCGGGAGAATCCCCCTTGTTAGCGGTTCGGCCTAAGGAAATTGTAAGGTTTTTCGGCTTGCTTTGCTATACAAACTCAACAAGGTATCCTACCACATTTTCCAGATGAGCCACTCATCGTAAAGAAGAGAATCCAGCATGGACGACGTCTTCGATGGATTTTAATGTTTTTTGTTGTAGTGTTGGGGTGACGAATAGAAATGGGAGCTTCATTAGGCACTTATAAGCTTTTTTAGGTCATTTTTCTAGTTTTAGTTTCTTTTTTGCTCGTATTTAGGTCACTCTTTTTTTGTTTTTGATTTCTGTAGCGTTTAATAGCGCTTCGACTTCATTAGGTCTGCCTAGGTAGGACAATTCTTGGATGCTATTCAATAATTCAGGTTTCACAACGCAAAGTTGCTGTCTTTATAATCCTAAAATCGCCCAGAAGGGAGCAAAATGCTGCATCTCGGCAAAAAAAAACAAAACAAACATTTCGATGAAATTCATCTCAATCATAATTTATTGGTTTTCATTCATGGGTACATAATCATGGGTAATTTAAATCTAGAAAGTTGATTGCTTTTCCCCAATATGAGATCTTTTGGCTCAAATTTCTTCTTATTTTGGGGAGGGATCGCATTTGTACACAATTTTTTGGGATCATCTTTATTTTGAACTAATTTTATTCTACCTTTTTTTGCCAAATCTGTCTTCTTCGCCAATTTTTGCCAACTTTTGTCAAACAAAAAATCATCCTGAAAACAGTTACTATAAATTTCAACAAAAACGTTAAAGGTTTGCGTTGTTGAAAATTTGGATTGGAGAATAGTGGCCAAGGAATGCGCGCAATTTCGTTGGGTGGGGGGAGTACTGCACATGATAGTAACTTATTTTAGTAAGCGCCCATTTCTATCAGTCACCCATCCCACCCTAAGTTTTCCGCCATAAGGCAGAAGGTCGCGTACCTTCTGAAGAGTCCGACCCTTCCATATTGAATCCCTGCGCTTTGTTTCCTGCCGATGGACTCGACTTATCGAGGTCCACGGGTCGGTGTGTCTTGGCGTGCCAGAGGTTTTCTTCTTGGGCAGCCCTTTTTCGGTGTGCCGAGATGGCTCAATAGCAGCGATGTTCGCGGAGGTTGTGCCCTTGAGGCTATCGCTTTGGGAAGGTGCACCTCACGAGGCCTTGAGGTGCAACCGGCACCGTGGAAGATGGCATTCGTCTTGATGCCATTTGCAGGGATCAGTCCATGTATTGGTCGATTCTCACAGGAGCAACAAGTGTTATGGGAACGCGAATCGATTTCCCCATCTGCAAATGAAGGGACAGGATACGATACTTTCCACCTCCATTCTTCCTGCATTCTCTGTGGTACTTCTAACACGGTCTTGGCGAGGCGTTGCTCTACAGATGTAAGCGATCGGCGGTGCGATGCCAGTAAAGATGGTCACTTTGGAAATCGTGGTGGTTACCGCCTTCTTGGTGCATATTCTTGGCATTTTCGATATCTTGCCATGGCGAATGGTGGCTAAATTCTTTGACCAACTGCGAGCCCTTCATATGGACGGCGGAAGTAAGGAGTCGGATCCCGAATGATACATGCCTGTGGAAATTTGAGGACTTAACTGTAAGAAGAACCTATCGATTCGGAGACTGCCGCCTTATGTTCAGGTATTTCCTTAATTTCAAGAAAGTTTTTCCTGGAACTATGTTCACTAATCTTGGACAACTTTGTAGAAAGTGAGAACAGAATTTGTTCAATTTGAGGTCTTGTAAGGTGCTACAGTTTCCCTAGAAGTTTCGAAAGTTTTTTTTTGTTTTGAAGTCTAAAGAGAAGCACCGAGATTTGGAGTCTATTTCTTGCTTCGAAATCGTTTTAGCTTTCTTAAGAAACCTTTTTCCCATTCGGATTTATTGTTGCCTTATAGTAAGCATATAACCAAATTTGTCATCCTCAGGAGGAGTCAACCCTCGTAATTCCCTTTATTTACTCCAGTAGAAGTGATATGCTCGAAGGCCAGTTTTTTCGAGACCGAGCGCACAACTGAGGGGNGGGGACTTTTCGATCTCTATTCCAAAACAAAAAAATATTTGGTGGTGTGGCCTCCTTCTACGTTTCTTTGCGTCAGATCTGCTTTCGCGAATACATTTGAAAATGGCAAACAGCTAGTAGATGCCTCAGCTCATTCCAGAAAGTGAATACTAAGTAGTTATGGGAGGTCAGCCGCTCTATACTTTTGCTGAAATAGTGATTTGGCTCCCTTAGCTCCTCAACCTATTACACTTGACCAGCTGGCAATATCCTAGGTATTTTACCTTTTGTTGCGCCCTCCATTGTGGCTATCATTTAGCTGTTCGTGGCCCAGCAGGCTCATGCCCAACTGTTCTCAGGGTTGCATAGGTTTGTCCCGGAGGAGAAGCATAGAAACCGAGGTTTTCAGGTAACCCATCATGTTGACTGCTCTGATGAAAGTCGTCAACGTCCAGCTGTTTTCCTCTATTTCATCAAAACTTTCAAGGGGTTTCTGAAGGGCTTATGCGGTGAGCAGCGGGAGAGGGAACACCAAATTTTAGGATGGGGGTTGGATAAAGTCACTTTTGCGAAGGGTCTAGATTTCATATTAGTTTTATTTACTTCAACTATTTCATCACTGAATCCTCTATCACTGGTTCACAGTTTTTTGCTGTTTTTGTAGTTGTTCACATGCAATTTTCGTGCCATTCTATGGCCCTACTTCTGGATTTAATGGGAGCTGGTTTAGCTTTGAAAAAGTCTGGGGGTGGGTCGCAATTCTTCCTGTGCTCCTTCTTCAATAGCAGTAATAACCCTTTCGCGTTTTGAAGAATATTAACGATACCGGTCAATAATTTTTTTCGCAACTGGGCCTGTCTGGGAGAGAAAGGATCAATGGGGAGTCGTCCTATTGATTCACCAACTGCCAACCCACCCACCACTCCCTAGCTGGGTTTTTGAAGGACACATGCGATGAACAATGGGGGAGAAAATCGTAGGTTCGGGATGGGAGTCGTATAAGGTCTTTTGAGAAGGCTAGAAAACTCGTGTTAACCTTATTTATCCCAGTTACTCCATCACTAAACCCTTCATCGCTAGATAACTGCTTTTTGAGGTTCCTGTAGTTGTTCACATGCAGCTTTCAAGCCAGTCTATGACCCCACTTCTGGATTTGATGTAGGCTAGCCTAGGTTTGAAAACGTTCGGGGGTCGTCGCAATTTATCTTGTGTTCCTTCTAGAATGGCAGTAATCAACCTTAAGCGTTTTGTGGAATAGAAACGATGCCTATCAGTGTTTTTTTTTTTTT